CCCCTATTCAGCGGACACCTCTATTAAGCGGATGTGGACACTAAAACAAATCGCTTTTGGCTAATTTCTATTGTTAAAGACCTCTACAATGGTAGTGTTGGATTACATCCTTGAAATACGTCGGTTAATGTTTTTGCATTTACAAACAAATTAAAGTTGGTAATGAAAGGTAATGAACTTGAACTCTGGATAGCCTCTTTAACAACATGGAACTCTATAACAGTACAGAGGTAACCGTTGAAAGTAAATCGTCAACAAACATGGCGCAATTTTTACAAACCTCTATTAAACGGAAACCCTCTATTAAGCGGACACTTTAAGGAAGGTCCCGAAGGTGTCCGCTTAATAGAGGTTTCACTGGTGCGCAAGTGTGGTCGCTGCTCCGGAAATGAGCTTTGTCGAGGAAACCGACTGTGAGCAGCGGAAATCGAGCCTGAAAAACTCTACTGATTGAATTAATACTGATTGAGAATTTACAGAGGATATTACATGGCCGCGCGGAGATACGACATTTCCCTTCGCGTGTTGAAAAATATTTCACGGGTGAGCGCAACGAACGAGTGAAATATTTTTTCAAGAAGAGAAGAGAAATTTCGTATCTCCAAGCGGCCATGTAATGTTCTATATATTATATAGACACCAATGAACTACCAAACCATCTCACTTTAATAGTTTTTGGGTGTGAAAGGCGCGATTTATTATGTAGCCATAGCAAAGGTGATATTTTCACATGTGAAGATATCAAGTTTTCGCGCTAAGGCTCACCTGGTTTTCATTAATTGGTGTTTATATAATAAACTTTGGTTTTTAACGGCCTGCGAACTATTTCTTTGCTTTGCAACCTTCTTTTCTCTATGCGGTATTCTGTTGACTTCTTGTTTTTTCTAATTCATTTGTTTTACGTTACCTGTGAGTTTTACAGGTTCTTACACCAGGATGAGCCCAACCTTTTTCACCTATCCTCTTCTAACCTCATAGGACATAAGGCCTCGGATCGAGGATGAATCCAAATTAGACAAAAAAATATAATAATACTGAAAAGATAAAAAGAGAAGAAATGGGATAAATAACAACAATCTACTAAAGAGAGGTTGGAACCGGATCGTTGATGTTTAGTATACATAATTGGCACTCAGTTTTGTGAAATTAAGGATCGACACAGGTCCCATGGTGTAATGGTTAGCACTCTGGACTTTGAATCCAGCGATCCGAGTTCAAATCTCGGTGGGACCTATCAGAGAAGTATTTTCTTTTTTTTGGACCTTTTTATTTCTCTAGTTTTCGTTTAGTACTATAATAGGTGGAAATACTAATAAAAAAGTCTCATCTTTTTTCCTCGAAAAAAAGAAATTATAAACGGTTATCTTTTTTACTGCAGCTAAGGGTCTCCAGCTTCAAAATCATACGGGAGAAAGAAAGTCGGGAGAATCTACCAACATCATTTTCATATCTGAGAAGGCGGTTGCCGAATATTTGTGATTGGGGTTTACTGGTTCTTTTAATTTTTTGATCTGAGAGCTGGTTTTCTGCAAGTTCTGTCCTTTTTCTTTATCCTAAAACTTTCGATTCTCCCGAAGCATCAGCGCGGTCTTCCTTTTCTGCGCCGCGCTCAGTGCTTACTGAAACCTGGCAATGTGAAAAAAAATATGAGCAAAACAAATATATAAAAAGAGGCAAAAAAATGTGTATAACCGGCCGCTGACGATCATGTTGTTCAACTGTCAAACAAGGAAGTTTCAAACATTTACTGTGCGGAACGTTTTGAATATGGCACGATATATATTCCACTTTAACCCAATACAGGGGCACCCAACGAGGATATAGTGCAAAACCACTTAACATAGCATTGTTGAATGTATTTTAGTATTTAAACTTTTTAGGGTAAAAATCCGTTAAAAATGGGTAATTATACCATTTTGTAGATGTTCGAAAATCCTAGGAGAGGCAGGCAAGCAAGATATTTTACAACAAATGTTCCGAAAATTCTAGATCTCAAATCGTCTTTCGAACAGATATTTTCCGAAAATTGCCGTTGGGTGCCCCTGCCAATAGCACGGTCGGGTAAACAGATTGGCAGTTAAAGCTTCCAAATTAGACAAAGAATGATATAATACACATATTAAGTATTAAAGAAAATAAATGTAATATGAAAATTCTGTTTCTGAGAGTAGACCTACACTGTTCTAGACCTCATATTTCACTTTAAGCTGCACTTCCATTGTTTTCAGGGATAGCGGCATTGTTATGTGACAATCCCTATTGTTTACCAGCTAATCAAAAATAATCCTTCAAATAGGTGCGGGATCGCCCGTTTCTGAGTACGATTCTGAGGCGATCAGAGGGTAGAGCATGCTCGACGGGGTGCAGGATACGAATGCTTATTTTGTTCCCCCCTGCCCTATCACAGGTCCCATGGTGTAATGGTTAGCACTCTGGACTCTGAATCCAGCGATCCGAGTTCATATCTCGGTGGGACCTTACTGTCAGAGACATTTATTTCTTTTTTCTGTTTTTGTTGTTGTTGTTGTTTGTTGCTGTTTTTTTTTTTCATTGTTTTGTCCTGTATTCCTTTCACAGCTTTTCACTCTCCTCACATATGGGTCAAAATACTCCAAAAAGTAATTAATGGTCGACTTGATCGGCAAACCAAGTGCCCGCCTGAGCGAGCGAGTGGGTGAGTGAGTGATCGGCAAACGACAGGTTTCATTTTGATAGGAATTTTTAAAAGGGCCTCTAGCTTCCGAAAAGAAACAAAAATCTGAACAATCCCCTTTTTGCCTCCTCCTTGTTATAAACAGGTGTTGTAAATGAAAAAATAAAAAATTCGCTGACTATATAGAGAGGAGAAGTGTGACGTCGTGATACCATGGTGGATCTCGACAATCTTTCTGACGAGCCGGCCATTTGCACGGTTAGCGTTAGATAGCATCGAGTGAAGCCAGATTGGACACCTTATGAATTTTACACAACGCATTATTTCCATAATGGAACGAGACTGGAATGTAGAATGAGGCTAGAATAGCTGGAGAAACCAAAACTACAGAGCACCAGTTATGGAGAGAACGCAGTAGAGAGTTAAGCACTGATCTGCAATGATTAGGGTTAAGCACTGAACTGAAAACGGTTAGCTTTCAAATATTGTAATGGGGTACGGCATATATAAGAACACGTACATTTTAAAGATTACTGGACTTGGCAATGGTAGCTAGTCCTCGATGGTGTAGTGGATATGGATGTCGGCTATAAAGCAAGTGACCCGGCTTCAAAGCATCACAGTAGAGTTTTTCTATTTCACTTTTATATTACAGAGTAAAGTTGGACTTAAGTTTTCTTCATGTAATTTTACTGAAAGAAACAATCTGACTTCAACCGATGTTACCTAATGCTAACCCATTTGCACAGTGTCGAACGATGTAAGAAAAGTTTGGGCTACCGTCTTGCTCCTGAGTCCAATCAGGCACAGAATAGTGCGGAAATTTTGCTACCATGGCAACTTGACGAAACGACTTTTCCTACTCGAGTCACTCGCGTTTCGCTTTCGCCTCTCTGCAAAAAACGTTGCTGGGAGCCTACTTCTTCTCTCTATTGTCTGGGCCATAGAAAAATGGCCGAAATAATGGAGTGGTAACCAGTATGGCCGCCGTAACTATAAATAGACATATGTTCATAAAATGATCACGTATAACTCATGTGTATTTTCGAATAAGTTAAGTTAATAAACAGATATGAATAAGTTACCTGTTTAACATAAGTAATAAATAAAATGTGTATTGTATGATAGCAATATTTTTCATTTAAATAAATGTGAAGTACGTGTACGAGTTTGAAAGAGCAGGACTTATGGGCTCCTTCCAAGAGTATGTATTTGCCATTTTTTTCCATTTTACCATTGGTTATGTAATACATGAATATATGTACAGGTCACCCTTTATGCACAGTCTGTCTTTGAGGCTGTATTGTAAGAAACTGATAAAGCCACGAAAATGAATTTCAGTGCGAAATGAGCCCACCAAAATATTTCATCAAATTTAAACGCTCCCAGTTTTACAGCCTGTGTGATATGCCAGGCGCAATGAAAGAAAAACATATTTCAACGGGAATTTTTGATCGATCGTTCAGCAAGTTTATCAGAGACGGTCCTTTAGACGGAGAAGCCGGGTTGCTGAGCTTATGAATGTTCCTCCGCTTTTCCAACTTGGAGAAACTTGGAGCATGTGGTGCACAGCCGACTTGACTATATTTTTGAGCATGTGGATGAAAATCCCGTTTTAAGAGTCACTATCTATGATATAAGACAACTACATATTTAAACTGTATAATTATATACTGGTATAAAGTAGTTTTTCTTCCTGGGATAATATAAAATCTCCGCTGTATATGGAGTTGGCTGAAGGTAAGCTATAAACTGTGACATGTGAGAGGCAACTCGTCATACTGCCTGTACGCATGCTCAGTGGAGTTGCTGTTGCCTAATGGCCGTTATTGTCCCCAGAGCCCGTCGTTTCTTTTGGTCACGTGCCGAGTGGCGCAGGAACGAGAAGGCCTAATGGCTATTTCAAGACAGCGACAGGGATATGTGAATTTCTCTTAAGTTATTTTTAAATCAATTGAACGCTGGAATTAATAAAAAGTTGGTTCCCGGAGAGGTCCGCAACTTTTGTTCAGTGTTGTCAAGAGAGAACTCAACAGTCGCCAGTACATTATTTTGACTATTTTCTTCAAGACAGACGCGCGAAAATTTGATGACTTTCCAAATAATAGATTGAAATTTGGGGATGTCCCATGAATAAGATTCCGTTTAATTACAATCTCTAAAAATAACTTTAATGAAATTCACCTATCCGGCCAAGGCGTAAGATTCCTTTGTGTTCGATTATTCTCTGTCGGGTTATTTAGATGATGATGGTGGTGATGATGACAATGATGATGATGATGATGATGATGATGATGATGATTAAGCTTGAAAGAGGAATGATTGGATAGTTAAGAGCTGGGATGAATTATTGGATGTAAAATTCTGGCGTGCTTGACCGAGAGCGTTCCTCGACTGGAGTTTTTATATTTCTGCGTGGCCTTCGTTTTCTTGGTGTCATCTGTTCATCTGGATTTGATCTTGATCGTGTTGATCCATCTAGACTACCATACGCCTGATCACTTCCCTGAAACGGAACCAGCGCCTTGGAATCCTGTAACATTTGTTTCATTTCCTCGTAGTGTTTATTCTGTTCCTCCATGATCCCGCGGATCTCCTTTTTTACTTCTTTTCTGAGTTCTTCAATTTTCTCTTCTTGCTTTGAAATCATCACCTCAGTTCTTCGCTGCCATTCTTTTTCCTTTTTGAGTTCTTGTAAAATCTGCTTGTGTTTTTGATCACTCTTTTCCTTCTCTTTGCTACCCTCGTCGGCTTTCAAGCTCCCGTTGGCTTTCCTAAACTCAAGCTCTCCATGAAGGCGTTCTTTAAGATCTCGCCGCAGACTCTTCATATACTGCGCTCGGTCTTGAGCCTTCTTAACTCGCTACAGTGCCTCGCGGATTGTCTCCTGAGATTGCCTTAGATTCTCTTCATATTGAATCTCCGCTATTTTGCGAATTAAAATATCAGTACTCTCACGCATTCTGCTTTGAAGTGTATCTTGTAAATCTGAGGCACCCCAATTCAATCGATTTGAAGGAGAACCTATTTGTAGAACTGGGAGATGCAATTCTTCCAAGTCCCTGTATTGGTCATATACTACATTTCCATTAGCATCGCGCGCCATTTGCACAACATCGTGGAGACTGGGTCCGGCCTGATTGGCGTACAGTCTCTCCTCGTCTTGAACCCGATGTGCCGCCATTTTGAATCTGTTGATGGGGGCTGCGTTGTCACGTGACATATGCTCAATAACCTTAAAATAAAGTTAAATGCCAGTAAGCAGAAAAAAAAAACAATCCTTCGAGTCAATAGTAGATAACCAGGAATAAAAAAAAACGCAAGAATAAGACAGATTTTTCATTAGCTATGTGTTAGCAAATAAAGTGGTAGCCTGCAAGTTTGGAAGTGACATAAAAAAAATGGAGAAAGGTTTCTTTACGCTAAGTAACGTGATCCCGTGAAAATTAAATGAAAAATAAATTCATGCACGCCAATTAATCCTAAAAAACAGTCATGCTTTGGCCTACAAAAAATCATACTATGAATTTGATAACGAAAAAAAATTCTTGCGGCTCGAAAATTCCCCTCCCGCCCATAACTTTTCTAATGGTCCGTCCCTAAGCTTTATATTTAGCGAGCGTGCTGCGAGTGCGAATGAAGTGGCGCGTGCGCTTAGCGCGCGTGCCGCACAATCTTTAATAAAGTCTTAAAAGACAGCATGGCTTAAACATGTGATATCTTCCTACCTGAACCTGAATTCTTGAAAAATTGCGCTGTGATTCCAAACTATACCTTTGAGAGTACCTTTCTGGCTGGGACTGACTAACCTGTTTTTGAGCCGTTACGCTCTTGGCTGCCTTCTGCCATTGTTTTCTGGAGCCATGTTCAACCGACATAACTGACTGCTCATCATCAGCTTTTTGCTCCCTTTCAACTAAAATAAGACAAAAAAAAAAAGAAATATTTTATTATTCTCGGTCCCAGTCGTTCTTGGCAAGTTTGCACTACGTCACCAGTCAAGTTTGTCGCAAGAATTCGTTCGATTCCAAGCCTCCTCCGATCCCCCAACTCGCATAGGATTTTTCCGTCATGTTGCATTTATAATTCTTAGAAAGTAACAAGAGAGAATGAAAATAATTAGATGTTGACCCAAAAGATATTTCCAACTAGATTTACGGATATTTTTGGTCAATTGGAAAAGCTCATAGCCTTTGCGAAATTGCTCTACTGTTCTCTTTCTTCGAGAATACACGTGGCATGGGTAAAGAAACTAATAGTTTGACTTTGACAGATGTGTTAGGTCCGTTAGCTCAGTCGGCAGAGCGTGGTGCTGATAACGCCAAGGTCGTGAGTTCGACCCTCACACGGACCAGTAGACACTAAATTATTTTCCTCTTTTTTTGTGAGTGCTTCTTTCTGTTTGTTTATGTGTTTGTTTGTTTTCTCTTTTGCTGTGCTATTATATTTTTATCCTTGGTAGACACCCTTTTTTAAGCCTTGAGGAGCCAGCCGTGGTTGCCTTGCAGAAGAACAACGAAAAAGGCTGTTCCAGTGATCCTCCGTCCTTTTCTGGCCTGGTCATACACATATATTTGTAAACGAGTGCCGTTTACCGAGCGTTTCTAGCTTGAATTAACTATGCACAGAAGGTGTTAATGCATATTGGCTCAGGTAACAATCTCCTACGCCATTTGCAATATCTGCAGCCAGTACAAAATAGTTGAGTGTGTTAGGAGGTGTTTACATGACACCGGGGCGACTTTCGCACCGGAGCGAATTCACTCCGGTTCCCTCTCATGGCTCTATATTTGTTTACATGATATATACCACCACAAAATGTCATGCCTGCGCGAGTCACCCCGGCGTGGGTTCACCCCGGTTGTTGTACTGGGGAGAGAATTTCGCTCCGGTACGAAATCTCGCAACGGTATATGTGAAATCGGTCTGCCGGTAGACTGGGACGGGTAGCGCATGCGTAATGTTTGCGATTTTGAATCACACATGTATTTTATCAACATGAAGTGTACCTTCAAAGAGGGTCTGAATGGGGGTCCACTTTTCGCTTGTCGGTTAAAATTCAGTCACTTTGTCGGTAGTCGGTTAAAATTTTCGATCTTTGTCGGTAATCAGTTAAAATTTTCGATCTTTGACGGTTAATGTTTGTTATAAAATTTATCTAGTTTTAAGACTTTGAACCCCATATAACGTGTAAAACTTGTAACTTGAAAGATTTGTCCGACGTTTTTTTTAAATTCGAATACTCTTGTGCTCAGGTAGATTAAGGCCTGGGTCTAAGTCATTTATGGTTTTTATGTACAGTTTCCAAAAACTATGGTTAAAGACATCCACAAGGGACGTTAGTATGGTAAAGTAAACGAAACTTAAAAAAACTTGAGAAAAGAAATTAAAATTATTTGGTCACGTGATCGACCACGCCCTCCATTGTTCCAAAATTGTAACCAACGATTCCCACCACTTGACAAAAGAGTAGCTGCAGTTTCTCTGTATCAAAACATTATCTCTTCAAAGTGTCCACGAAATCAGCTCAGAATGGTTCGAAGCATTACAATTGGCCTGTGCAATTGGTGTTCACTGACTAGTGCCAGTCCTCCTCTAAGTAAAATTATCGACAGGAGAAAGACGTTTATTGACCTCTCCTCATTCCAATTGTTTTTACGAGAAGACTATCAGTAGCCACTTTTTGGACCTGCTAAAGCAAAACGGTTTACTCTCCTTCTGGTGGGAATTTCGACTCAACGGATTTCTCGATAAAACAGGGCGTGGCTGGTCACGTGATGCAGTTATGAAAAATTTTTAAAATGAAATTGGAAGATTTCTTGGTTATGATTGGCCTTGAATTGTTAGTCACAGGATGTCTTTAAAATACTGTACGTTATACCACCCCCCTTTGAAAATTCTGAAAACTGTGTAATGACCGACAGGCCTTAATCTACTTGAGTGTGTTTATCTTTGTCGACCGGAACCCGGCTGTGGTGGCGTTCGATTGCGACTTCTTCGCCTTTTCGGAAAAAAACTCACTATCACTTTTATGATTCCACTCGTGGCTGGACAAACGACGTGGTTGAAATATTGCAGCGGGAGGTTTCGTGGGCTCGAGTACGGGAAATTGTTCTGCAAAATGATCCCGCGTTCTTCCGCCAAAAAAGTAAGAAGATGACAGGAAATTCTACAATTACCTTCAATCAGGTTACTTCGTAAGCTAGAAAAAATACAAAATGCTCTTCTGATCTCTTCTTTCTGAAAACAAATATCGATGATGGCGGTCCATGTGGGTAGTCGGTTAATTATTTTTCTGTCGGTAGTCAGTAATTTTTTTCTCGTTTTGTCGGTAGTCGGTAGTATTTTTCGCCCTTTGTCGCTAGTCGGTTAACGCCATTCACACCCTCTAAAAAGTGAAAGAGAAATGGCGAAAAATTCAACTTCTAATTAAATCTTTTCTTATGGTTTAGAATAAACTATTCTCGAAACTGAGCATGTTTTGCTCAAAGATGTTTAAATCGAACTGAAACTGTACATGGAACCTTGCGTTTCCTGTTTTTATCTCACCTACTGTATGGAATACATGTGAAAATCTTCATTATGAATCGGTATATTTCAAAGAGCTACACAACGACTAAGAATGCTACGGACCGACAATATACAGAGCGGGGGCAGCTGTAGTGCCAACTATTACTTGGCTTAAAACAGGAAGGCACAGTAAAAACTGCGGCCGAATATCGTAAACCTCAATACTTCTTTTACTTTCCAACGCTAAGTTGAATTTCAGTGCAACGGAATGAAGGTGGTGTACCGGCGGCCTAGATACATTAGAAGAATACAACACGTATATTCCTAGACTTTCACTCAACTAAAGAGGGACTGCCATTGGTTGATTCTTGGTCACGTGGCCTTGACTAAAATCAAATGTATCCCGATCGTGATACATTAAACAATGTATCCCGCTCGGGATACATTGCAGCACGTGATCAAAGCATGGTGGAAAGTGGTGTGACAGAAGGCGGGAAAAACACCGCCAGGTCCAGCCAGTTTTCTTTTTCGTGAATGAACACAACAACACAAAAACGAAGCCTCAAGCTAAAAAGCAACGATTTTTAAAGTTATCCCAGAGGTTCCCAGAAGAAAAACAGCAGCTAGTGGAGGAAAAAGATGCAGATAATATGAGGAAAGTACTTTTGTTTGTCAATCATTCATTCAGTGGTTTTGAGAATTAAATTTGTGTTGTTATGAGTACCGAGTCGACTGTTTTGGTTCGCTCCGGTTATTCTTTTGTTGCTGTTGAAGTGAAAGTCTAGAAATATAACAAAACACTTAATGTCAGGTCCCTCGGGAAACCAGTTAGTTTTGTTTTCCCAAGAGTCCCGATGTTTCCCGAGACGAAGTGTATAATCTTGGGATTCATGTGGTACTGAAGGGTGACCTTTTCAGCAAGCGTGTTTCTCGCGTTATTTACGTCATAAGCAATCGTCATAAGCGCAAGTGGCAATCACGTGCATCACTCTGGTCTCATCAAGGTACACCTTCGGCTAAAGAATGAACTTTGGAATTGTTTTCTAGTTTTATCACTGAGCTGATGATTCTGCTACACCTTTTTCAGTCAATGCCGTTCAAATCGAGCCGGAACTTTGTAGAAACACACCAGGACCAGGTAACATTTGTGCCTTGAGAAGTTTACCCGTGCGTTTGAGACTATTTACATATTTGTAGTTTAACCTCTCACATGCACGAACAATATTCTGGGATAAAGTAAGCTTGAAGAATTTTATCCGCGTATCAGTGCAGGTTGTTACAACTGTAATGCTTTATTCACGTCTGATATATCTACGCGGGCCATTTTGCATGATAAGTATCTCGCTCGATGAAGCAAGCTAAGTTGAAAACATGTTTGAACTGACCTACATGAACTTAAAATAATCATGAGATGAAAAATTTTCACAATGGCAAAAGATTTCGTCCTGTTCTCTGACATCAGTAATCTAGCAAAAAGTTAATATTTTTCTGTCGCTCCTATGATCATTGGTTTCACTTCAAGTTGTGTCGCGCAAGAAGCCAGGACTTTTTCAACCTTCGAGGCTACCATTTTTTCGAAGTTTGTGGTGACATGTTTATCTTTTTAACAACATAGAACTTTTTACGATCGGCTACTTTACATTTTTATCGACCATGCTTGAGGGAGAGTAAGACATGTTAAGAGTAAAGAGTTAATGAGTGGGAGTATTTTGAAGCCGTATTCGTGAAGAGCATTTTTTAAGAAAAGAATGATTATTACGCGGGATGACGTAGTCGGCCAGCGTCTAAAATTCGGTAGCGCATTCCTTTCGTCGTCTTGGGAGTCAAAAATGGCCTTGTTTTTTTAACTTTCCCGTATCCCGTGCCCGTCCCGAGAAATTATGTGGATTTTTATTGGCCCCAACGTCGAAGCACGTGCAAGTCAGGCTGGATTGCACAAGCCGATAAAACACACTGCGTCAGCAAAGGAGGGAAAAGCAAGCTCACTGTGTAGAGGAGGACGAAGACTCAAGGCCGTGCTCTTAATACGGCGCAAGACTTGGCCTCGGGCGACTGAAAATATTGTCTAGGCTGCCCAGCCGGGCGACTTGCTGGTGTTGGTTTCTTGTTTCTGTTGAGTTACAGTCAAAAAGCTAAGAATGTCTAGAATTTATTACTTGCGAAATCGTAGCTCTCTCGGTGGCTTCGCGGCCTAAAAAGAACGCTCCTCTCGCTAAGAAACTCTTGAGGTCGACTCTGTAAGTAGCAATAAGTAGCATGTCTATCAAAAAGCTTTAGGAAAATGTTGTTAAATCGGGCAGCGGGCACGCGTTGATGTTGAAAGGTCGTCTCACGTCGTAGTCACTAAAACATGGAACGACCTACAACCACCTAAAACCACCTAAAACCATCTACAACCACTTAC